TTATATGGTTTATGATGGTGATAAGAAATAACATCTATCTCACAGCTTAAGTGAGGTAGATCAGGACTTCATTAGTTTTCTTAGTGGACCATGATTTAACTTGTAGCACATCTAAAGCACAAGTTGTATTTTAATGGGGCTTGTTCTATTACAATAGGTAAAAATCCTATACTGTGCCCATGATAAGTGTAGAATGAATATATTTTTATAATAAAATATTTTATTAATATTAATTTGGGCACTGATCAAATAAACCATTCCATTTCTTATGAGAATAGAAGTTTACCATATTATGATTTATGACACAACAAGTTCTCATTTATAATAACTGAAGAATTTGAGCCAGAGGTTGTTAGAGATGGACCAATGGAAGAATTAATCACTAAATACACACACACACACACACATAAAGGTGTCATATATTTTAAAAGATTTACTTAACCTGTATGTATCGCTAGTAATATAAATCCAAGAACTAAGTCTTATACTCATGTAACATGGAATGCAATGAAAATCTGTACTGAACACTTAACCAGGATGATTCATACCATACTTCCAAATGTGAAACACTTTATTTATTCTGCCTCCAAATTCTACACTCCAATATCCAACCAATTCAGAGTGAGCTGTCCGAAGATGCACATTTTTCTTGAAGTTTTCTAGGAACTCATTCACCTTTGAGGGTTTAAGAGCATAGGTACGAAATTCATAGAACATTCCATCATTTTGTCTGGGGCCTGTAGCAAAAGATGAGCACACCTGAAGAAAGATAAGGCAAATTTAAAGATTTTGGGAAAGGTAGGATGTATCATGTTACAAAACAAGCAGAACATACAGCTACTCTTTCCTGGCAAGAGTTCACAAACTTAGCCACTTTTCCATGAGAAATTGCTTATATGAAGGCATTGGTATCAATGATACTTCTGTACTGGAGAACTACAATTGAAATTCGCATAAATTTACAGTTTTCCTTACTTGGCCAATATTCAATTTTTACTTGGTAGTATATGTGCTAGTTATGCATCTGAAAGAACTTTGTAAATTCAGTATGTATGTCATTTGGCAGGCACAATGAAATGTTTACTAGAAGACCTTTTAAAAAGTGGAAACTGCCACACGTCTGTAATCCCAGTAGCTTGGGGAAGCTGAGGCAGGAAGATGGTGAGTTCAAAACCAGACTCAGCAAGTGAGGTGCTAAGCAACTCAATGAGACCCTGTCTGTAAATAATACAAAATAGGGCTGGGGATGTGGCTCAATGGTTGAGTGCTCCTGAGTTCAATCCCTGGTAACCCCCACCAAAAAAAAAAAAAAAAAAAAAAAAATAGAAATTGCTATTTAGGTCAAAGTATTTGCTACATTCAGTGAATTAAACCATTGGTCAAAAATGTAGAAGGTGCTATGTGTTATTCAATTAATGGTAATATAGTGGTGGGCTGTATGAATGCTGAAGAAGAAAAATTCAAGATGAATTGTATGACTCATTATTAGTTTCTAATGACAGATGCAAAATGAAGCACATTTAATGCATCAGTCATACCAGTTTGATGGACACATCCCCTAAGAGCCAGTAGTTCCTTTTGTAATAGTAATATGCTCAGTATGAAAATCTCTAATTCGTGTTGTCAGTGAACTTAATATTCATTACGGCACATCTTGCCATAAATTATCCTGTATATGTATATGTCTATATACATACATATGTGTGTATGTGTATATATATATATATATATGCACATTCATATGGCACATATATGTACATGTGTATATATACATGTATATATGTATATTATACACATATATTATATATATATGTATATAATATATACACATATATACATACACACACGCACACACATATATATGCACATTCATATGGCATTCTAGTTTACAAATACATGTTATGTAGGTTTCACTAGCCTGAACTATGTACACCAGAAAAATATTTTAAAACAGTTTTGGTACCCACAAATCTACAAATTAGGATTGACATTTATAACTTTGTATATCCCTTTTTTTTGCTCTGATTTTTTTAAAAACTTTATTATATGGTGCTGAAAGTCGAACCAGTGCCTCACAGATGCTAGGCAAATACTCTACCACTGAGCCACAACCCCAGCCCCTGCTCTGATACATTTATTTAGAAAACACAATAGCATATGGGTTTCATTTAATTGTATATAAGGTTAATATCAACATCTCACTCGAATTCATTCCACTCATGTCTATTAGGAGTTATAGTCATATGCCTAAAATGACTGTTTGCCATCAATCACAACTGCAGCTGGTCTTGTTTGGTGGAAATTCTGTACTTTTAAACCAAATTATAATAACAGAATGTTAGTGGAACAAACAACTTTTGTCCACAGTTTAAAAAATATGATAAATAAAATATGTCAAAAATGAACCAATAGTACATAAGGAACTGCACATTTTAGGTTGGTTAATGAATTTCTATTTGGAAACAGTTATTCAAACACACACACTAAAGTATAATCTTTCTCAGGAGAATGTGTATGTGTGTGTGTGTGTGTCTGTGCACATATACGTATTTATACACACATATACACACACAGAGTAGAGAACCTGCATTGAGGGTAAGGGGCTTGGCTGGGGAATGACGTCATTTCCTGATTTTTGCTGCAGGACTAAAACCTTGCTGGGGCAGAAATCATCAGTGCTTCATACTCCCTTTAAGTTAGGACTCATTCTTGCGAGCAATGACTAACAATTCATTGAGTACCTTTGTAGAAATGTAAAGTTTACAGAAAAGTTGTAAGGAAATAAATGTTGGCCCTGCTCCACCTGAAGAGAACCAATAGGATAGAGACTGCATTGTTAGCCAGGCAAGGTGGCCCATGCCTGTAATCCCTGCGACTCCATATTCTGAGGCAGGAGGATAGAAAGATCCAGGCCAGCCTCAGCAACTATATGGGACCCTGTCTCAAAACAAAAAATTAAAAGGGCTGGGGATGTACCTCACCGGTAAAGCGACCGTGGGTTCAATCCACAGTACAAACAAAACAAAAATCTGCTTCTCCTTTTCCATTGTTTTTGGAAAGGAATTTTAAGCCTAAACATGGAAAGGAATACAATCTCGACGATAAATCCACTGGACCACACACAACAAGCCGATTCCCACGGTTCAGATCCAATCCCTGGCTCCTTTTTGGACCTTTCTCATCTAAGGCTGAAGCAGGTCACGTTTAGGGTCTTCAGGCTCAGGCCCCCGCTGGGCTTGGGGACCACCGCAGGACACAGGGAGGGCGGCAAGGTGCCCCACACTGGGACCCTGGCCGACTCTCCAAGGTTCTCGGCAAAATGCTCGCAAGCTGCGCCTTCCTTTCAAAGGTGAAGGCTGGTGGGGTCGCCAGTCGTCGGTGGTCCTCTCCCGCACCTTTAGTGTGGACGGAGCGAAGACTTGTCAAACCCACACCTACGCGAGGCCGACGGCTACAAGGCCCCGCCTCGAAGCAGCGCGAGCTCCTGGAGCCGCAGCCGCCACGGTGCTGGCGGCAAAATCGCAACCGCCAGTGCTTTGGGAACGACTTTGGGGCTGGCTGCTTGGCTCCCATGCCAGAAAAGACTTCTGTCCACCGGGTACACGACTCTGACCCAAGGGATCCCTTTTCCTCCGTGGCCGCCGCCCCATATCCACTAGGCAGAGCCGCGTCCGGCGCGCGCGTGCGTGGGACTCGCTTACCAGCCCCGCTTCCGCCCTGGCCCCACCCCGCCCCACTCTGCAGCTCGGGCGCGCCCCCCGGCGGCCGGTACCTGGGGCGCGAGCATGCGTGCGGTCAGAGCCCGGGCCAGGACGCTTCGGAGGGGCAGCATGGCGCAGCGTGGGGCCAGGACACTTCGGAGGAGCAGCATGGCGCAGCGTGGGGCGCCCAGGAAGGCAGCCAGCTGGCGTCCGACGTGAGACTCTCCTCGTACGGCTTCCTGACTGGAAAGGCGCAGTGAAGGGACAGTTAGAGGACGTGGGCTGGGGCGGGACTGGCGCGTCAGCTCCGCCCCCGCCCTGGAGGTGCACCCCGGGGCGCAGTGTGCAGGAGTGTGGTGCCAGCCCTGACCCAGTATTTCCCCTTTGTTTCCACGACAGTTCTTGCCCCAAACGTCAGAGTTGATGTTGCAGTAGCTGAAAGCGGAGTTCGTACTGTTCCACCTTCTGGTCTGTCGCCTCCTCAGAGCCCTGTTGTGCAAATGTAGAGCGCGTGTGTCTATGAGCAGGAAGGTGCTGTATGGATGCCTGCGTGTGCAGGCTTTGCATTTAAAATCATGATGTGTTTTTTTTTTTTTTTTTCTTTTGTTGACAGAGAGCAGAGCTGGGAGCCTTCACTTGTCTTCACTGCAGATATTCTCCATCCCACTTGCCAGGCCAGCATGGCTTTGAAGAGATTCAGATTCGTTTTTTTATGCACTTAGAGGAATGGGGGCACTGAAACTGGTATGAAAATTCAAATTTCAGCATACATAGATTGAGATTAAATAATTCAGTAGGACTCAATACAGTCAACCTCTCATGTGGTCCTGTCTATGTAATTATTGGTTCCTATAGTAACTATTTTATGTTTTAAAGCTGTTTCCTCTAATTCGTGTTTCTGTCTTTATCAAACAGGCATATTGTAGTGCTTCATAATTTTTCAGTTGTAAATAATGTTACAAGGCACCTGCCTGCTGAGAGACTGTCAGCTGGGAACACCTCTGGATTCTTGCATTCAAGCCATAAAGAGACCTGTCACTCTGAGTGATCAGCATGAGTTTATGAGAAGGGCTAGGAAAAGGGGATACTCTCAAGGAAGAGAGTGGGTCCTCTCAGAGAGAAGAAGGATGGCTTGCTCTTCCAGCCTTCTGGTTTTATTGGGGGGGTCCTAGGGAAGTTTTCAGAAAGCCTGGCCTAGGTTCACCTCTTGACTTTTGACTGACAGCAGGATGACATCAGACTTTCAAGTCTCCATTGCACATGACAACTCTAGATTACTTTGGCTCATGCTGACTGGTTTGTTTAAGAGTCACAAAAGCTTTCCCCTCTACCTTACCAGGCAGGGTTGCAGGTAAATTTTTTCTTGGGAAGCATGTGGGGGTCAGCATAGTGGGCCCACCACTCACATATGTCTGTTCCATATCTATAGTATCTATTGATTTGTAAGATAAAGATTTAGATTTCTTCATCCCACTCCCCAAAATACACTTCTTTTCCCATGTTTACTAATGTTTACATTAAAAGTAATTCTTTGATTGTCACATTAATGTACTTAAGTCTGTTTATATTTTCTAACAGTTATATAGTACACATGTTTAATAATATTGTTTATGTCATTAGGACTACAGAATTACAGAGATCTCATTGTATAAGTTGTGTTTTTTGGGAAGGGCTTTTGAGTCATCTCTTCAGTGGAAAGGATCCTTTATAAAATTATTAATTCTGGATGTGTTGCCTCAGTTTTCCCGGAAGAGAAGATCCATTTTTAACCAAGCAAGACTAAATAATGCATTGTTTGTCAGAACTGGATCTAGATGATTAAATTTATTTCCAATTAGCAATTTGATTAACTAATCACTCACTAATTCAATGAATAGTTAATAAATTCCTTCTGTGCTTCAGGCCTTTTTCCAGATACTGTGGTACTGAGGGAAACAAAAGTCAAAGTTCTAGTACTTTGGGGGCATATAGGGTAGGAGAAGAGAAAATATATCAGGGATTAATAAATATCCAGTATAGTAGGATATAGGGCAATTAATTCAGTCGGATATGGAGAATAGAAAGTACCAGAGGAAGATAGCAGAGACTGCCAACTATTTCTCAATATCCACTCTTCCTTCACACTTTTAAAAAGATGAGTAATAGAATACTTAGCTTACTGAGGCTGTGTGATAGAATCCTGATCAGTGGGAAGTGTTAGTGCATTAATGACCTGTAAGTGATCTAAAGGGGTGCAGGAGAGAAGAGTTGTTCCTGTCTTTGTTCCTTCCTTTTTTTTTTTTTTTTTTTTTTTTTTTTTTTTTGCTACTATATTGGCATAATGGCTTGAGTCCTTGGCCTACAAGATAGAAGGCACATGCTGTTGATGATGGAATAAGAGAGGAGCAGTTTAGGTTTCTTATACCATGAAGCATTAGGAACCCTGAACTTCTCTCCTTTGGATTTCTTTTACAAGAAAATCGCCTTCTAGTTTAAGCCACTGTTGTATGTCTTAAACATGTACTTTATTTTTTTTAAATTTTTTATTATTTGTTTTAATTAGTTATACATGACAGTAGAATGCACTTATATACTTTGATGTATATTACATAGATGGGATATAATTTCTCGTTTTTCTGAGTATACATATTGTAGAATCATATTGGTCATACAGTCACATACATACATACAGTAATAATGTCTGTTTCATTCTACTATTTTTCTTATCCCACATCCCCTGCCTTCTCCTCCTTTCATTTCCCTCTACCTAATTTAAGGTAACATTATTTGATTTTTTGCATTACAATTCTTAATACACATAAATACCACACTTTTTGTATTTCTGTTTGTATATAAAGTATGTTGACATCCAATTTAAGTATTCATACGTGTACTTTGTATAATGATGTCCATCACATTCCACCATCCTTATTCATCCATGTACTTTAAATGAGAGGGTGAATGTTTCTTCTTTCTCTTTTACTTATTTGCTTATATTCTTTTTTTATACCTATCATTTATTAATCACTAAATTCTGTGCTAAAGTCATAAATTTTCTCTCACCATGATTAAACCCATTCATCAGTTTATCATTTTGATACTCTGGAATTAACATCCCAGGACTCCTACTTCTCTTGCTTCAGGGTGGACTAGTTATTTAAGATGGTATAACAGAGATTCAGGGATCTCCTTTTACTGATGTCCCAGGGAATTTAATTTTCCTTGTGTTGTACCACCATTTCATGCTGAGAGCCATAGCCAAGTAGGAATGACGCATGGCATTTTTGGGTTGAAAGGTGACCCTGCTCAGGGATTAGGGTGGCTCCGGGTTTAGGGTGGATCCTGCTGGAATAGGGTGGCTCCAGGTTTAGGGTGGATCCTGCTGGAATAGGGCGGCTCCAGGTTTAGGGCAGATCCTGCTGGATTAGGGCATATCCTGCTGCCTCAGGCACCCGCTCCTTGAGTTCCCATTGAGTTCTCGCAGGGTTCTGAGAGAATTGGTAAGCAGAGCCTGGTGCAGGGAGTATATTTTTCCCAGAACGTGCGTGTAGAGTGCCGGTGAGAGTTCGGGAATAAAGAGTTGCTGTTTGAATCTACAAGGCTGTGTGGTGGCTCGGTTATTTTGTGCCCAGCCAGACTGCGGCAATTTCAGACTCTTATATTTCCCTATGTCCAAATTTTAGGGGAGGGTACATAGCAATTAAACTTTTGAAACTTGCATCTCTAAAATTATCTTTATTCTGCCAAATTTATTCATGGTTTGGAAATTCTATACTAGAAATCTTTTGTCCTCATATTTTTAAGGCAATGCTTCATTGATAGATTCTAGTGAGAAATTCATGAAATTGTTTCTTTTTTAAAATAATTTTTTAAATTTATTTTTAAATTTTAATTGTTATATATGATAGCAGAATGCATTACAATTCATATTACACATATAGAGCATAGTTTTTCATATTTCTGATTGTATGCCAAGTAGAGTCACACCATTCATGTCTTCATACATGTACTTAGGGCAATGATATCCATCTCATTCCACCATCTTTTTTTACCCCCTTGTCCCTTCCCTTGCCCTCCCTCCCCTTTGCCCTATCTAGAGTTCATCTAATCTTCCGATGCTCCCCCTCCCAACCCCACTATGAATCAGCCTCCTTATATCAGAGAAAACATTTGGCATTTGTTTTTGGGGGCTTGACTTCACTTAGCATTAAATGAAATTGTTTCTTATTCTCTATGGGAGTTGATGTGCCTTGGAGGAGGTTTATTTTTTTCCTTAAGGTACTAACTGACAAATCTAACAGTGGGTGTAAGAGATACAATTATGAAGTCATGATGAGCATAAAAGGAATTCAAGTGTACTTGTTACAACTACAAGTTAGAATTTGACAATATCTATGATTTTTATTGGCTAAAATGTCACAGGTCTTGTAGCTCATTGCCTCTCTTCATATATAAAGGAAATGCTTAATTTCAGATAGAAGTCGGTGACAATAAAGATGCAATTTTTAACTGTCGAGGTTAACAGTCCCTTTGAGTTCTGTCAGTACTGTCCCTTGAGTTCTGTGTACTGGAGATTATAAATCTCTTCACTAGAGTACATATGCAGCAGTGGAAATCCTGGACAATAAGTTATGTGCATATTCATCTTTACCAAATAGTGACAATATGTTTTGTAAATTTATACTCTTATTGGCAGTGATGAAGTTATTATTTTTTTTTAAAGAATGTTGTCTTTTTCCACATTTATCTTGTTCATTTATTTATTTTTTTTATGTGGTACTGGGAATAGAAACCAGTGCTTCACGCATACTAGGCAAACGCTCTATCACTGAGCCCCAGCCCCAGCCCTGAAGTTATTATTATTTTATAATAAGAACAAACTTTATTGCCCATCTGGGCTGATGAATGTGAAGATACATTTTTATGTCTCATTACAAATAGGTATGACTTGCAAGGTGACGGAAATTGTGAGGTGGCTTAGGGTGGTGATAGTGCTCCTGCTTGGTTTTGTCCAAAGACTGGGCTCATGAAGCTGTGCAGAAGAAAGCAGGAGAGGTAGATCCAATGCTGGCCCAGCTGAGTAGGAAGGTAGAAGCTACAGGTCAATTATAGATGCTGCATCTGGTGCTGCATTCCTGGGGATTTGTCCCCTCTCCCCCATTTCTCTATTCTGCAGCTACCAAATGGTGGCATAGACCACTGTTCCTTCCACTAGGTGTTAAACTGCACACATCTATTTTTGAGTTCCTGTAATTTAAACAATATTTATTTAAATTTAGTGGAGATAATTTAATAGTTTTATGATACTTACACATGTATCAGAGAAGAAATTTCAGTAAAGGTTGAGTTACTATCATAATGTTTATGGGTTGCTTTTTTATTATTATTATTATTAAAAGGCACTTATAATAAAACTCAGTTTCATTCAGGATTCCTCAATAACTGTCCTACTCCTGTTACCAAATATTTTCTAAGTGTCTTTGGGGTGTTGAATATTGAATGAAATGCTGTGTAGAAGGATAAAGACCAAATCTTTCCTCTTGAATTTGCCAATACCTGTTTTTATTTCTGTCTCAGCCTATTTGCTGATATCCTTATTAGAATCAGTGGTAGGAAAGAGTCATGAGCATCTTAATATTTAACTATATATATATTTATTTGTTATTGTTTCTATTAATAAAACAAAGTATCTTTAGCACTAAAACACATTTATATATCCATTTGATATATTCATTACATCCTTTCAAGATTCTTTTTTTTTTTTTGGTTACTCTCATTTCATTGTGAAATCTAGATTTTTATTTTATGGAGTTAAACATATAGAAAACATTCATTCAAAGAGGTTAAGTACTTGCCAAAGGTAATAAGCAGTTTAGAGCTGGTTCATTCATTACTCTCCACTCTTCCAGGGGATGAGTATACCAAAATTTTGTTATTCCTTTTCTATTTATATTTACATGTTTCCATATATTTATTGTACAAATACTGCTTCACTTAAAAACTTTGTTTCTATCTCCCTGGGCATACCTGTAAATAGAATTACTGACTCAATTCCACTAGATCCTGCTTATTTTAAGTATCAACTCATATTCTGACAGGCAGTGAATAGGATTTCCTTTCTTTTCATCTTTGCCATTTTTTTTTCCTACTATGTGAGACTACTATTTGCCTTGATTTGCTATTTAAATTGCAGTAACTCACTGTTAATAAATTCTCTGATTTCTGGCAAATTAATCATCTTTTTGCATTTTTATTTTTTAAAGTCCTAGTTTATTGCATTTGTTCAGTTTTCAGTTCATATTTTTTCTTATTGACTTGAAGGTTTACTGAAGATACTGGAGGGAGGAACAAACAACTGTTAGAAATACCAAAAATGACTTTTAGTGTTGGCTTCTTGCAGAAGCCTGAGAGACATACCTGCTCAGTAGATGAATGGCAAAGTCTCTTACCAGTGAAGAGCTAGAAACTCACACAGCAACAAGTTATAGCCCTTTCATGGAAGAGGCTTCTGATTCCCAGATGGAGTTGGAAAGGACTTTTTGCTCAAACAAGATCTGTTGTTCCAGGCTAAGCAATCTGGGTTCATGATTGGGCTGTAGGTTGGACCACTGAAGTCAGAATATGGTCATAGTTTAATTCTGGAACCAGATTTTCTTTTTTTGTATTTCATTTGCAGTTCTACTTCTTGCCATTTGTGTATCTGCTGGTAATTTACTTCTCTGCACCTTAGTCTCCTAATCTGTAAAATGGGGCTAACAGTGTTACCTATGTTACAGCATTGTTATGAGGGAAAAATGAGTAAGTTCTTAGAGTGGGGACTGATACTAATGAGGACTTTTTCTTTAAACTTTCATAATATGAGAGATGTTATGCTAGCTAGATGCACTCAGCATATGACCTATTGGAACATTGATTTTCTTTCCAAAGTTTATGTTTAACTCAAGCTGATAGAAAAGTTAGGGAGATTAGAAAATAATTGGCCAACAGAGAATACTCATTACACCATTGCCCACAAGTCAATTTTGCATGCTAACTTTCTTGATTAGGAGGGAAAAAGTTATTTCACTCTATAAAATTAAAACATATAGATAATGGTCTGCAGAGAATCTTCCCTAGTAGATGCAAAAAACCTAGCACACAGTCTTAGTTTTGAATACTGGTTCTGTAAATTATTAGCTATGTGTCCTTGGGCAGGTTACTTAGTATCTCTGAGTCCAGTTACATTGTTTATTGATTGCTGAAAATGATACTACTATTTAGGGTAGTAATGACAATGAAATGTTTTCATATAGTATTTTCCCATAGCATTGCAGTAATGTGTCATTTAAAAACAAAAATACATTCTGAGAAATGCATAGTAGGTGATTTTTTTGTTCTTATGTGAATACCATAGTAGAGTGTACTTACAAAAACTAAGACTGCTGTGATGTCACTAGGCAATACAATCTTATGGGATCACTGCTGTTTATGCAGTCCATAATTAGCAAGACATGCAGTATATGACTGTATTCATTAAAGGATAATTGCCTATATTGAAACCTCACAACACTAGAACCAAGGACTTCATTTGAATCTTAAGTTTGTAAAGAATAAATTTCTCAGCAACAGATGGAACAACCTTTGAATTTACTTGCAAAGTATGTGCAAGTATTATTTTCAGAGAAGGTTTGTATAAAAAATTTGAGGAATTTCAAGGAGTTACATGTTTATGCTTTTTGATGTGATCATGGCAGGCAATGGCTGCTATTGTCTGTGATTGGAGTCACTGCTATAGAGTTGGTTTCAGGACTGTGGAATTAGAATTTCTTCTCAGTCCTCAGATTACAAGTGAGAATAGTGAGGCCTTATGGAGAAGTGATTTCATGTGAGTACACTTGTAGTACAGTTAGACCCCGGATTCAGGACTTGTGGCTCCTAGTCCAGGGCTTGTTCACTCAGTTTTCTTCTGAGCTGAACTGGGCTCATGGCCTAGTGTGGTCTTTCTCAGTCTTCAGGGGAAGAAATGCAGGACCCAGCATTCTGAGTCACCCTAACGTGGGGTTGCTCTTTACTCTGTGAAGTTCCTAGCCTAGTGCTTCTGCCAGGTGACTAGAGACTCTGGCATTGTACTGCCAGCTTCTAGAAAGTCCTGGAGGGAAGAGGTTTAGTGTTCAGGATCCATTGCTTTCACTCTGCCCACAAGGTCTTGGGCCAGCCATGGGCCCTGTCACCCTCCTTCCTGTGCTGCCTGGTCTGGGAACCTGGCTGGACTTGCAGGGATTTGCTCCTTGGACTTCTTTCTAACCTTATCTTTTCCTGCCATCCCCCTACCCCCCTCCACTGCTAGGTTACAGATTGTCCTGCCAGTTGTGTTTGTCTGCATTGCCCTGGTGTTCAGCTTGATTGTGCCACCCTTTGGTAAGTACCCTAGCCTGGAACTTTAGCCCTGGATGTACAATGAGCAGTGTACGTTTGTCAGGTACGTGTTTATCTTCTGGGCCTAGGGGAGAGGAGGATTCAAGTAGATCAAGGGTGATCACTGTGCTGAGGGTCAAAAGAATAGAGTCAAGAATTGCACAGTGGAAGGGGTTTTACCAGCTGTGGCTCAGGCCCCTATGCAAGCTACTACTGCATGCAAAGAATAGAGAACTACTGAAATAACAGTCTAGTTTTCTGGTGAGTACTTCAGTCAATATCTCTAACTGCTGTTTGATGAACCCAGCCTAATTCCATTTTAAGATTAGGAGCCATCTCATCACAAAGTCATGGAAAGTTAATTTCTGTTTTACTATAAATTACTGCGATTTCTAAACTTGTTTGGAATTTCTGCCCATGCCTTGAACTTACTCATGCCTGGCTTTCCCTGACCAGATAACAACCCTCTCTAAAACCTTAGTGGCACCTCGTAAATCCTGGCTCCCCATGACCAGATAACAACCCTCTCTGAAACCTCAGTGGCGCCTTATAAATTTTGATGTTGGGATCTAAATTTTTTCCCTACCTTGAAATGTTAAGCCAGGTAGATCATTAACCTACTATATGCCTTTGTATTATGCTTGTCGAAATCCTTTTATCTGTAAGTTAACAACCCCTCTTTGCAACTTTTTGTGCTATAAAACTATGTTCCTAGAGAGCTGGGGTACTGATTTCTAGTCCAGGGTTTTGGGAGAGACATTCCTGGCTAGCTACTGTGTACACAAATATAAGCTTGCTTTAAATTGAAAGTTGGAGTCAGTGGTCTTTTCTTTCCGTCGTGGTTTAATACTGTTGTGGGGAACAACCATATGTGCTTTAGGTAAAGTAATCTGCCCTCAATAAAAATCTATGATTATTAAATTTTTAGAAATGTGCTTTAATTTCATGTTCATCACAGGGCTTTCCTACACTGCATAAATTTCCACAAACTTGATTTCTGTACAGTGTGATTCTCATAATTGCTATCTGTTAAGCTGTACTTATTAGCTAGTTTGTATTCTTTAGACAAAAATATCTTTAACTCCATAGCAATCTAGTGCTTTAATTAAGAACAAACGAATTATATGAATGTTGTTAGGCAAGCTTTTTATTTTTAGTCCTGTAAGATTAATGGCTCTGCTGACAGGGAAGTATGCCAGTAATACAGAAGAGAAAGGAAGCTTTTTTAAACAAAATTCCTACACACATGCACACACACATGCACTCATGTATTTATTAGCTCATTTGCTTTCTTCGAACTCTGTTTTCCAAGCTTAGGTTGTGTTTCCCAGAGCTATAGAACACAGTTTATTTTGTGTTTGTTACCTATACCCATTATTGTTTGTGCTTTCTATTTTCAATGCAACTACTTGGTCAATAAAATCTGTATACCTTTTCCAGGAAAATCCTGATGTATGTCGATAATGGATAATTGTGAAAGCCCCTTCTAAATACTGATTTTTAATATACTGACATTTAATACACACACATATACACATACCTTCATACATATTTATAAAACCTCTAATTTGGAGTATTCTATATTACCTTGATGCCAAATATTTGGGCAGAGTCTCAGTTTTTCATAGGTGGTTTCTATATTTTATTCATTTTGATTTTAAAACCTGGCTCCCAGAAAGTGCTTAGTAGATTATTCTATGTAGAAAAACATTTCTTCCTCCCAATTCCTGATTTGAATGAATTACTGAATTTGCTTGTAGTTACAGTAATAATGCTTCTGAAGACATAGGCTCCCAGGAACTCTTGAATACCCTCTCCAGAACACCCTTGCTTTGGGACCTAAAGTATGGAGAATGCCATGTTGGCCACGAGATTCTCCATGGCTGGCTTCTTATGCTTGTCACCTGCTTTGATTTCTGATACACTAAATTTATCAGCTACATGCCACATTATCATCATCATTTGCCCTTTGAGTTATTTTTTATTTTAAAGAGAGTAACTATAGTAACTTACTCAGAACATCTGGGAGTAAACATTTGGAGAGTCTAACATCCTGGGAAGCAAATCATTATAGACCTTTTTTCACTGCTTTAGAACATTAAGATTTATGTAGCACTTCATATTTACTTGTCAAATGCTTTCTCCTTCTTCCACTTTTCCCAAGTCTTTCACCTACCTGTTACAACAAGCTTTCATTATATATAATCTGAAGTTTTGTTGAATTCTTCCCATGAAACCTGAAAATATCATACATTAACTTTTTATAATAATCAATTTCTTCTTAAGAGTTTCATATTTTTATTATACTGTCCATCAGAATCCCTTTTTAAGGCCTATATAAATTCAGTGATGACTCAGGATTCCAACTATGTTGGTGGGGGAATGTAAGTCAGATCACTGAGTAAAGACCATGGGAATAGGTAGGCAATTATGAGTCCAGTGATGGCATGTTTTCAACTCCCTAGGTACAAAGACAAAAGAGACACTGCACCTGATGCGAAGAGTTCTGTGTTAGTGAAGAACACCACTGATGTGTGTTGGAGACTAAATGAAGGAAGAGACTCTGCCCTGACAACTTTGAATGAAATTCAAATGTTAAAGTGTTTGAATCTATGTTGGGATTGAGGGAAATCTGACTAGGACATGCCCATGGGTATTTAAATTTTTCTCACCAGTCATCTTTTGAAAGTTTGCACTACAAGAGGGTACTGTTACTAGTTTGGCTTTTCTATTTATTTAAGGAACGTTAAAGATAACAAACCTCAAAATTATTCATTTGATGGATTATTCAATACATATGAAAATAACATAAATATTGTGGCTCTTTATAGAATTCTGGAACTGGAAGAGACATAAGTACAACTCAATGAAACAACTCATATTTTAATTTTACTAGTGAAGAAAATAATTCTACAGAGAGGGCAAGTGACTTGCTGATGTTTTCTCAGTAATTCAGAGCTTAAGTCTGAGATAAAATCTCCTGGGGTATTTTAAACAACCTAGCTTTCCTATACCAAGCACTGTGTCTTATTCCACTCAGGCTGCTATTTTAACAACACACAACAAGATGAGTGGTTTATAAACAACAAACATTTATTCTCATACTTCTGGAGGCTGCAGATTTCAAGATCAGGATGCTGGCAGATTTGGTGTCTGGTGTAAAGATCTGCTCTTTATATATTTGCTGCTTTACTGTATCCTTACATGTTGTAATGGGCAAGGCACTCTCTGGGTCCTTCTTATAAGGGCACTAATCCTGTTAAGACCTAATCACCTCCCCACAGATCCCACCTCCTAGTCCCACAACCTTGGGGGTTAAGATTCAGACATTCAGACTACAGCTCACTCTCATTCCCTCTCTTCCTCCAGTTCTGTACTCATTTTCAAAACTGAAGTGAGTCTTGTCATTCTCCAGAAGATTTTTAGCACATTGAACAGGCCTGTGTCATCTGACTCCTCTGTTTCCCTCTTCCTCATTTCCCATTATTCCTCCTTTTAGTTCATCACCTTCTAGCCCTACTGCATCCCCTGTTGTTCCTTGTATATAAAAACTCATTCTTTCTGAGGATATTTGTACCTATGCTTTTGTTGACTTTGGTTGTAGTGCTTTAGTGTATAACTGAGCAAATGGAGGGGTGGGCTGGTAGTTTCTGTTTGTGATCAGGAATGAATGAAATATGTCATGTTTGAGCTGTGATCTTAAAAAGCATATGAGCTTCGAGGGGAGGAGTTTTGGACCACATTGTGCCTCTGTGTGAGGGAACTTAGCTTTTTTCTCTTCTTGAGATCAGCATAGGTTTGTTTTAGTTAAAATCAGAGCAAAATACTCTGGATGAATGGGCTATGGAAGACATGCTATGGCCCGTTCCAAAGTGGTGGAGCCATAGGAGACTGTCACAGATCTAACATCTAACTGCCACAAGTTAGCTATGGGCCTTCTACAGGTGAAATTAACACATAGGCCTCTTTCTCTTTTTTTTTTTGTGGTGCTGGGGATTGAACCCAGGGCCTTGTGCATGCAGGGCAAGCAGTTTGCCAACTGAGCTATATCCCCAGCCCACGTAGGCCTCTTTCTTCACTTCTGGATTGGGGAGGCTGAATCTGAAAACTTTTGTAGGCCTTATCAATTCTGTCATTCTCTAACTTTGGGAAGGACATCTGAGCCATTTTTTTTCCTGACAATTTCAGGAATGGGGTATTGATTGTGATGGCTCTCTGCAATTTTATCAGCATATAGGTTGCAAGGTAAGGACAATCGATTTTAAGTGGATGTGGGAAGTCATGGTTACCACCCTAAAATAACTGCTAATCCAGACATCAGTATAACCCCAATGAACACAAAAACTCAATAGGCATAGTTTACAATTTTGCTCCTTAACATCTCTTGTGGTGAAGAAAAATCACATCTCAGTGCTTATTGTTTAGCTATTTAGAGTAATTCCCCAGGGAAGATCTTGGCATGCTATATATGAACGACCAGTACTGAGGGCAGCATGGACCAGATCTTGGTGGTGGTTGGTGGAGGGTGATGCCTGGGCCCTGTGGTTAGGGCTCCAGTCATATAATGGCATGTGTTGGAAGAACATGTGTCACTGTAGCCCTTGATATGTTTTTTGTGCCAATTCTTGTCTAAGAAGACACACATGCTTGATTTTTATGTGGTGACAGAGAAAACAAAACACTGCAGACATCCTTCAGAATCTGATGGGAAGGAACATCTCAGATTACCTAGTGAAAATGTATGTGCAGATCATAGCCAAAAGGTAACTCTTTACTAATTGTAGTCCATGCTTTATCATCATTGATTAGAGGAGATGAAGGCCTACAAATAGTGCACCCCCTGGGGGGATTGTCAGATTATGGCTTGATGTTTCTACTGCAAAGTTAGGATGTTATCCCTAACTAGACATGATGGCTAGAGCTATCGGTGAATATTCAATTTTCAGCTAAAAGTTTGAGGCAGGCTGGTCTAGAATGAAACAAAGTATGGATTCAAATTTGACTTCTGCCACTTACTAGTTGCTTGATCAGAGACAACCCATTATCCTTTTAAAGTTCTTGTTTATATAAAATATAATGTTAATGTTACTCATAAAACTTTGTTGTTAGGATTAAGTGAAATGATGTACATAAAGTGTTTTAGATCCTTTCTCACAGATGGACTCTAATACATGGAATCATGAGGAGAGCCCTGGGACAACTGAGCCTATTTTGACTGTGGAATTTTTTTTTAACAGCCTTATAGTTTCCAGACATCATAGTACACTGTTGAATACTTAGCTGATGCTCTAGAATGCTTTTTTAAATTTTCTTCCCAACACCTTGGTCAGCTGAGTCTCTAGATTAGTAGTTCTCAATGACTTCAGATGGTAAGAATGTGCTGGAGTGATAATGAGCATGAATTTCAGAGAAAGAGGCATGATGTACAAATATGTCATGTATAATGCAAATATTACTTTGAAATGAAAAAGCTTCTAGTTGGTCAAACTTTGATCTGTAAGGTGGTTTTTAAAATTTGGCTCATTCAAGGAATGTTTTTCATCTCCTACTTACTCTTTCCCCAAAGTCAGATTTCCAGTTGATCATAGGGACTCAAGAAGTATTCAGGCCTTTGGCATGGGCCCAAGAAGGACTGGAATAATAGAGGTATCAAAACTGCCTATATTCCTTTCTTTTCCTTCTGGGTTTTGAAGGACCATCAGGAACTAAGGAAGACTAGGGAAAAGAATAATTCTTAAAGTCAATTTATACCACTGGAAAACGAAGTACCTTACATGGTTGCCTCAAAAATTATCTCTATTATTGCTTCTCAGCTTTCCTTTGTGCCATTTCCCCAAGGTCCAGGACCCATAGAACTCTTGAGCAGAACAGAAGCAGACCCTTATAGTTACTCTCATGCCAGGGATGACTGAAGTTCATCAATGGAGTGAAGCCTGCTAGCTTCCTATTTTGTCTGTATGTTAATAACACTGCCTGTCTATAAATCTCCATCAAGGCCATAAATTGGTGTGTATAAGCAAAGAATGACTGGCTCTTACCAGCAAGTGTTCAAACTGAACACAAGATGTATGGAAAAGGGAAAGGCAGAGGCAGTTGTACACTTCCATGACCCCAATGGTTTGGATATAGAAGCTTGTCTCATACTAGAGAGAAAGTCTGTCCACAGTGACTGCAATTAATACTACCTCCACCACCCAGTTTCCTATGTGAAATCTTTTCAAAGGAACATCAAGAAAAAAACTCTTAAATATAAATCAGAGCTAATGGCTCTAATGTCTTTGATAGGTTTTTACCTCCAGAGTCAAAAGTATTCTTTGCCTTACTATGAAATTAATCTGTCCTTTGGATTTCTGAGGGCTCAATAAGTGAGAAGTGACATACTTCTTGTTTTTCAATTTTATCTCAGACATAATTCATTATGTTATATTTTCAATACATGTTAAGAATTAACATAATAAAATCAATAAAAAATTAAAATAATATAGTTGTAAATACAGCTATGAGGAAACTTGGAAGTATGAAATCTCTTTTAAGTTGGAAGCACTCAAAACAAAAACTAAATTTGTAGCACATCTGTGGAAGTACTAAAGAAGTCTCATTCTGAGTTTGGTAGCATACTGTTAAAGCAACAGCTTCAGAGATGATAAAAATATAAAACTTAGAAAAATAATCAGAATATACAGGTAGGCTTTTATTAGGTCAAACATTTCCATATCCATGAAGATCACATTCAAACAAAGATATCTCAAGCATCTTATGTTAAGTAGGATCCAAAATAAAGTAAATATTTGTAAAATTAATTATAAATGAAGACATTTCAGCATACAAACCAAAGAGTCTTCAAAGACTTTAAATACCAGGACCTAATAATTCTATTTTCCAGTTCAGTGACAATAGAGCTAATGTGTGACCATAATTAACACAGATGACACAAATGATAATGTACTTTTCCATGACAAATAAATATGTTTAATATTCTCATGAATACCATTTGATATTACAAAATAAACTTTACTTGACAAAAATTTGGAAAATCAGGAAAACAGACACGATTAAAAGTTTGACAATGTATATTAATAATTTAAAACTATTGTTTCAATCATGGAAATATAACATTAGTATTTGAATAAAGGTTTGTCAACATACAGAAGACATCCTCTGAAATGAATGAAAAATCAAGATCTTGAAATAGTGGCAAGTATCTTTGTTAAGTAGAATGCAAAATGAAGTAAATATTAGTACAATTAATTATAAATGAAGGCATTTCAGCATGTTAACCAAAGAGTCCTCAAAGATTTTTAATCTCAGGACTGAATAACATTGTTTTCCAAATGGTAGATATTTTTAATGTGTGATAGATATTGAAATGCCTTGGGAAAAATGAACTTTTTACTTCCTAAAGTGGTGGTGACAAACAAGGGAGAGCTTTATAAAATGCAAGGGACATAGTAAATTAATTTATCACCTCCTTAAAATAAAAGTGAGAATAATTCTCTTGGGAGAACTTAAACACCATTAGCAGACACATTTTATACCAATTAATGAAATCTTTTGTGTTTCAGTAGAACACTATTTCAATGGTGAAAATGATGCAGGAATCAGAAGCATATTCTGCTGAGACACTAGGTAGTTGACACTTTCCCGAACTGGAAAAACATTTCATAAGAAGGCATATAAAGTTATTGAGCAAATCAAGTTTATTGTAAAAATAACCCATGCCTAGTGAAATAGCTTACCAGCTGCCACGACTCTGGGATC